ATACTAACATACCAGTTCATAAAGCTGTTGAAGCACTAACACTCGGCCTAGATGAGCACCAATAAATGATTAAGGAAGCAAATCTAGGCAAAAGCTTAATCTAAAGTATTCTTAACCTATCCATGAGCAGCACATACTTTACCTTGAATGACAAAATTTATGAAAAGGTGCAAGGTCTAGCAATAGGATCTTCCTTGGCTCCCAGTTTGGCTAATAATTACATGTCAACAATAGGGGAACACTTCATGGAAGGGGTAAGATTAAGTGTATAAATCAAATAGGAAAGAGTCGTCTCATTGACTTACTGCTAACTTGAGAGTTTTGAAAGCATGAGTCCCAGATCTGATGATGTTTATAATTGGAGTAACGAAGGCTCAGCTCAGGAAGGATGCCTAGTGGACTGCGTCAACCTAAACCTTGTAGAAAAATTAAACGGCTACAATAAAACAGTAATCAGACATCGTCTTTTTGTGAGATCAAACTACGAATCTCTTCATCATGCCCCATCATACAAAATTGAACTATCAAAAGCAATAAATTGGTGCATACCGATTTAGCATTGGAGTACTATTGTGCCTCCAGAGCTGAGTTAGTTCCAAAATTATATCAGTCTGTCAAGTCCGATCGATTAAAATAGCTAGTTGGATAATAATTGCCTATTAAAAGAGAGAAAATAACCCAATGGATTTATAGCTTTGTTTGAGTTCTAACTGATAAAAAGCTAAATTGTTATCATCAGCTCACTAAAATCAGAGCGTATCTCTAGATTATATCAGTACAGAGCAAAGCATATTGGCTGGAAAATTTGTTCGAAACACATGAATATTAAATGATGCAATAGATTGCAAGGTCAAGAAGACATTGAATTAGGTGTATAGATATTAATTAGTCAATAATAGTAATGCAAATAAAAAAATATATTTAATCACCATATTATAGTATTAAATTTTTAAAGTATCTAGTTTTTTACGAAATTACTAGCCTCACTATTTGTTTTTTTGGTTTAGTATTGTGCGATCTTAAGCCGCTGCTCCCAACCGGTGTTTTCGTTTGACCGACTTTAAAGAGGTTGACCTAAGCGGCTTATTTTTATTATCATTTGACTTTACTTAAATTTTGATTTCGTAACTCATGCTTTTTTATTTTTACATTAGTTCATCAATCTTGATGTCAAATCCCTATCCTGTTTTGTTTAATTATGTCTTTAGGATTACATTATCTTCATATTCTCTCTTAAGATCATAACTCTATGATACGCTTTATTGTTTTTAGGCATTCAATTTTTCTTCAAAATTTATTAATTATGTTGTATTTTTGTTAATTATAATGACAAATTATGCACGTTTTGAGTTAACTTAACATTCATGATCGTACCTCTTGTAATGGCCTTAGAACAATGGATGCCGTCAATTATGCCATTCTTAATCATATTTGTTGCAAAAATTTCCATTTTTATTTAATATGGGAGCTTTACTCCAGTATTCAATTAAGGCAAATTCAAAATGAATTTACTTTCCTCTTTGTTTAGAGCTAGTGAATGTAAAGCAGATGTACGGTTCCTTTTATGACATGTGCAAGAGCTCTTAATAAATTTCCGTAAAAAATATTTTATTTATATTATATCCTATGCTAAGTTAGTATATACAATAGGTAATTTTATTAACTATAATACACTGGAAACGTCGGTTTCTATTCTACTCAATTTGCTTCAATCTACCAATATACTATTTCCCTTTTAGAAGTGTTATTTTACTAATCATAAAATGGCCCTGCTTTGATTCATAAATAGGCTACCATTTTACTGCATGTAAGAAATTCATGTTGTAACCCTAATATGATTTTTTAGAATGGATTTTTTGGCGAAAGTAGATGACGAAGAACTTCAATGTTCTTTTCTCCAGACCCGACGAAGAAGATCTGCTAGACATAGTCTTCTCCCCACTATATCCAGTTATGCCTCTCCCAATGTATCAATTATCTGCCATAGCCCTCGGCCTTCCACAGTGAAGTTATCCAGAAGAGCCAGTCTTCAAATAAATTTGATTCGGACGGATTTGTCCAAGGAATTCAGTGACAAAGTCATTATGTCTTCTGCTATTTGCGACTCTCCTACTCAATGCGGCGACAAAAGCTCCATGCAGACCTCGGGAATAGCTGAGGGGTCAAAAACGTCTGATTCTAAACCTTTGAATATCGATAATTCTCCTCAGCCTGCGGCGAAAAGGCTACGATCTGATCCTATTACGCCTGAGGAGAAGGAAAGCCGTATACAGGTTTATAGTTTTTCACAAATATGATTTAATATATGTGCCTTAAACATTTTCGCGGAACTAAAATATCTAGATAGTTCCTTGATTTCTTTAAGCCGGCCACATTTTCTCGCCATTAGCTTAGCTTCGAAGCTATCATGCATTGGCGTTAATTTAATCTGGCGAACATACTTTACCGTAGGTTGGATAATTTAATTATAAAATATTCGTAATTACGACAGGTCATTTTTGAAGTAATTCCACAAAATTTTGGCAGGTCATCTCATAATAGCTTCATGATCTGCATTTTGCTTTTAAACATTTTTACATGGGAACAGTTCGCTTACTTTTATTTTTCGTAAGTTACAGTTTCACTTTGCGTAGTCTTATTCCTACTTTTTATCTTGGCACTGGCCTGAAGGACTTGTTGCTCTCGCGTAATTAAACAGAGCTCATTGAGGAAGTAAGTTTATCAGAATTCTCATTCCGCACTCACTGAATAGATATTCTACAAAGCTGAATTATGGAAAATTCTTAGTAATTGCATTTTGATAACCTAAGATTTTTTCATACTCAAGCACGCATTCTAAGCATATATTAAAAGCCAGTAAATTTTATACATGCCAATAGAGCACTGAGGAATTCTATAAAAAGCATGTGGTAACGTGATATTATATCCTGCTTTAGCTAGCTAAATCCTGGCCAAGCGTTTACCTCTATCCCGTCCGCGCGACTATTTTGAGTAATTAAGGACTATTATTTTCGCCACATGGACAGCTTTTCGGTTTACCTTGTATATCGATTTAATGATAACAATTTCCTCATTTCGAAAAGACTGCTAACATTTTGGTGAATTATTGCACAATACTTTAACCTTGCATTATTGAGCAAATTGTGATTAAAAGAACGAGACCCATTTAGATCGATTTGTTTTAGAAATTAAACTTATCATGCTATATTCTAAGGTTGTTCTGCTATACATATATAAAGATGATATTGAGG